AAAGGCAATTTCTTATATATTGAGGGTCACAATCCGGAAACATTGTTCTCAATGTTGCAACCATCTCTTCCACCTGTGCCGGATCTACTGGTCTTAATTGAGTCGTTTGTTGTACGCCTGGCATTTGCGAGCAATAGTGATAATAATAATTGAAAGTTTGAGCAGAAGGAGAGGTTACGTTCGAATGGAGATGAAACGCAGCCGGATCGCTGTTACGTCTGAGGTTACGTAATTCCTGGCGAATAGCATGTTTCTCAGCTTTGAGCCTGCGCTTCTCTTGACGACGGAGATGTTTTTCTTCACGGCGGAGTAATCGTTCTTCACGGCGTGCTTGTCTGCTCTGATTACACATTATAACTAAGTTTTGTAATTAATTGAAACGATTGAGTTAAAGTTTTTCAAGTTTCTCAAGCGCCCATTTATGCATGTACATGGTGTCCTTTTAAAAGAGGACGGTGTAACACTCTCTCCGAATACTCCGAAATAACTTCTTTCTGGAATTTCGTTGGCAAAATAAATCATCCCAAAAAAGGAATATCGTTGATTTTTGTATGGCGAACCGAATTTTCTTAAGAAGTTTTTTTTTCTTCACACGTTCGTTATGTCGTGTAAAGATCTCGTAAGATATAATTCAAACTTATCTGTTAATGGTTAACTTGTACAGTACATAAAAAAATAATAATTAATATACAATCTTTATTATATAACAATCTCGATAATTGATATTTTAATTTCAAATTTAAATTTTAAATGGAGGTTTTTTTTTTCTTTGGCAGCTTTATTATGATATTTAAATCGTTTATTAGAAAAAAAATTATTTTTTTTCTCGTTTATTATAGTAGCTTTACGAATAGGTAGTAATCGCAATAATGCATATAAAAGAAATATTCTTAAAAATCAGTTATGTTACAACAAACTTGTCATTTAATACTTGTTCGTTTATTATTTATTATTTAAAAAAATAGGATAAATTATAATGTTAGGAGAGGACAAATGTTTGTTTTGATTATAATAAAAAAAACTATCACGATTAAACAAATATATAGTATATTATTGACATTATCTTTAAAAAAAACATCAAATTTGATTTTTGAATTTGATTAATAGCATAAATTGAAGGATAAATATTATACATCTTATAAAAAATATATATTAAACAATAATATTATCAGTCAGTTTATATTTACACGTTATATTTTATATAAAATCATTGTTTGATTAGATCTATATACAGTAATAATAATAATAAAAGTTATGTTATTGAAATATTGATAATAATAAAAACAATAATAAGTTATGTATTTGGTATATCAAATATTTTATTTTTTAATTTTATTTGTAAAAAAACTTGACAATTAAATAATAAAAACATATACTATATATTAATATAAATCAATTAAATAAAAATAAATTTGATTTCAATTAATTGGTTTATATAAATTGATTATATTATTAATAATATTATATCAAATTAATTGGTTTGTTTAATTTGATTGATTGATTACATGTTGAAATTAAAAATAATAATTATTATTTTAAAGTATATAAATATTTATTTAGTTTAAAAAATCAATTAACAAATTTTTTTATTTTTAAAATTTTAAATAAGAAAACATATTTTTAAAAATATTTATATGTTTAATATATATATTTAATGAATTTTCTTTTTAATAATATATTATAAATTTATATCTATATTTTTATATAAAATTTTTAAGTTAAAAAATATTACATATAATAAATATATAAATATATAGTACTGCAAAATAAAAACAATTACCATATTTCTTTTATTTATAATTTAATAAATAGTAATAATATAAAAATAAAATTTTTAAAAAATAAATTATATATAATATGAAAACATATTTACCTTGTGATTATTATTATTTTTTATCATTGTTATTTAATACAAAAAATATTTAATATAAATTTTAATAAGTATTTTTTATTTATTTATTTTATAATAAAATTTTAAAAATTTTATTATTAATCGATTATAAAAAATTTAATATATATTTATATACAGTATATTACACTTAATTTCGTTCAACTCAACTTGCCAAAAGAGGATCACGTGTTACACATCTGGACACAAGATCATAAAAGCTGATCCTTTTATGCCAACATTCGAACAATGGCCGAATCAACTTTCGAGAATGTTAACAAAAGTTTT